CATTAGTAAAAATTATAAAAAGAGGATATTCTTGTACTAATCATCGAGACGAATCAAACAAGACCCTCTATGACTATATTTTGACTTATATATTTAGAGAAATTTAGAAGATTCTCTAATGTTGTGAATAGTGTCAAGATTCTAAATGTATATAATATTTAGGAACGAAGGGAATATTGTTTCAGTTAAAAAAGTAATAGACTTTTCTAAGGCATAAATCCTTAAAGCAGATCAATATATTCAATACAAGTGTGTTTTGGTTTATGAGGCTTTGTTGTTGTTTTTTTTTCTTTTACCTACATAATTTTCTTCTGATAATTCTTTATAAATGCACACATATTCATTAATTAGTAAACTACTGGTATTTACATTGCGATTAAAGTGTTAGTGGTCCAATTATTTTTTGATTAGAGATTTAATTAAGGCCTTGTTCTCGTCAACTGAATTTTGCTAAACTGAACTTATTTCTACTGAACCGAACTTATTTTTATTGAACTGAATTTATTTTTATTGAAACCTGAACAAATTAAATTTCTTTAGGATTGAACTTATTTTTACTGAACTGAACTTATTTTTACTGAACTGAAGTTATTACTACTGAATTGAACTTATTTTTATTGAACGCACAAACTATTCACGTGGCTTAATTCACATGTTTTAGAAGATTTTAAATATTAATAATATTTTATCTTTCTTCGAAAATTAGGTTATATTAACCTCAATCAATCAAATCTTTAATTAATTAATTGAGCAATTGTAGAAATACAAAAGACTTCTTTATGTCCTTTTCTTCTTCTCCGTCGTTTTTAAAAGACTAGACTACACTAGATGAAGGAGAGGTTCCATATTTACATGAATATTATTTATACACCCCCATTTTATGAAAATTTATTAACCCTTTCGGTAGAAAAGAGTTCATATTTTTTGTAACATTTACTATTTTGATCTATAATTATTGTTAGGTTTATTTAGCCTAAATTTCACAAAATGTAATAATTGATTATGTTTTGTGTGTACGTGAAAAATACCTTATAAATTCCTTGAAATAATTCAAGTAATTTTCTCTCAATTACAACTTTTTATCAATAATAGCTGGTATTTTTTTCCCTAGTTACTAATATAATGCAAATTTAATTATATAGTTACAACCATTTGGTTATTCTATTGCTTAAATAATTCTTGTACATGGTATCAAAGTTAACTTATGACAAATATGCAGTACAAATCTCATCCACCTTTTCTTTCTTACGTATAAGAGACCGGGGTATATGTTACACGCCGCATCCACACTTGAAACCCAAAGATCTCTCTTATGAGGGGTGCGATTGAGTGTAAAATCGAATTTTGGGGTTAGGTTGACCCATCGACAAAATACATTCCATGTCTATAATATATTCTAAGAATGAACAATAATATTTCTCAATTTTGTAAATTTCAATTTTTCTTCGTTTCTGATTCTACTGCAAGTGAAGTATATACTTGTAGTTTGACAGCTATGTAATCGATCAAATTTGATTTAATATCATAAAAAAATGCAAGTACTTAAATTATTTATTATTGTTGTGATACTTCATACTAGCCTTTTATGCAATCGATGCGTGCGGCTTTATGTCTGTCTTATTATTATAGCGCTCCGGGAAGTTTATGCATAGACTGTATTGTAGTTTTCTTGTTGTTTTTCCAAACATCTAATCATGATTTTTTTAAATCAAGCCTCGTTTATTTTATGAGATCGAAATAAAATCACAGCAAATTGAATATAAATTGAAAATTCATCGAGTTTTCTTCATTATAGTCTCGCTTTTATTCATTAATTGAAATTCTATGTTATTTTTATTTAAAGTAGATCTAATATCAATTATACGTGTAGCAAAATACTAAGAAGTATTCTATGAAAAAACACTAAAAAATAGGAACTTGTTGTTTTTTTGAAATTCTATTTTTTTCCCTTAACTGTAGTTATACGTCTAACAAAATATTAAAAAAAATTTCATCAAAAAATTTTTTATCAAAATATTCTATGAAAAAACACTAAAAAATAGGAACTTGTGGTGTAATGATTTTTTTTTTCTTTATGAGTTATTGCAATGGTTCAAATGTGTGTAACAACGAACAAATTGTCATATCGTGTATACTAAGTAAATTTTTTAGACTCTAAATCATTTCCTAATTAGTGTAGATTGATTGAAAATTTTAATTATTTGTTTGACTATTGATTGACGCTTTTAATGTTATTCTTGGCTATTTTTTGAAATGTTGTGATTTTGAGTTATTTGACTATTTATTGTATTGACGGCATATGTTTGTAATTTCATGAAGGAAGGGGGGGTAAGATGGTATTTTCACGTGGACACCGCCATCGCCGTCACCATGTCCCCCCTTCCCTTATTTAATAGAGATTACTGTATTAAATAGTACAAGTTCACCTCATATTCACATCATTAATAGTACATAGTAATATAAATTCACTCCTTTTTTTTAGTTTTTCTACCATGAATTTTGCACTATTAATCAACTCTACTTTTACCAATAATAACTATTTATATATAATGGAAAATATAGTCATGTGAGGTCTTGATTCCTCTTGTTTATACTTTTCAAATATACGATTTTTATAAATTTTGGAACTATATACAATCCAGAGATATATCGATTGAAAGTTTTGTCTCAGCAAATATGAAAATTGAAGTGCAACATCTAATAAAAAACGGAGGATATATAAAAACATATACTCGTATATTGTGTATGTTGATCTATATTATGTACATATTATGAGCTATGACTTGTTTGGTGCCTTGTTGGTGGTAGACATCTTGGATACTTCCTTCGACAAAACAAGACATCTTTTGTTGATTATGTTAGTCAATTCAAAAACAATATACTACTTCGTATTATTGTTGTATACTTGTATTATCAATAATAAGGGGCAGACCATGATTGGAGCACTATCTAACATAGACTTTTCATTCAAAATATATATACCAATTATAAGTTGTATACTTGTATTATTATTTGAACAAATTTCACCCAAACATACAACGGGTTCATGGTTTTTACATTATTGTAATTATGTTAAATGTAAAAAATATTGTCAAAACGAGCCTCGACCGCGACTACCATAGGCAGTGTAAGTTCACTTCACAAAACCATGAAAGTTCACCTCAAAATTAGTTGATAATAAGAGGAATAGTCATTCACTCAGTCTTATAAAATGAACACAATTCATCATATTCTTCAATGTGATAATGTGAGATTCATTTTCCTAACACTACTCCCCATTGATTCGTACTTCATCAATGTGAGGTAACACATCCAGTTAAATTTGGGTTGTTCATGAGCTTAACAATTATACAATATATTTTTAAAATTTATACTATAATCATGAAATTATGCAATTAAGAATATAGGAAAATATACTTTGTATGCTATAATGTTAATGTTATAATGTTATTGTTTAACATTATGTATAGGATATCATTTGGTCTACATTATACTTTTGAAAATAGGATTGCATTCACTTTTATTTTTAGGGGAAATTGATCAATAAAAGATCAAATATATATCCAAGGGAAAGAGACAATATAATGGAAAACGATGTTTTTTTTACTTTTAAGTAGAATTGTAATGGAAATGGATTTTAATTCCATTTATAAGTCCAGATATGCTTTTCACGCTCGTCAATGGATGGTATATAAAGAAAGCAACAAAGCCTTTTCATTAAAACTAGAACAAGAAAAAAAAAGAGTATTGTAATAAAGTTGGAGTATGAATTTTCATTATTGGAAGCATATGTTTATAAATATTCGTTCAGTTATGACGTCTTAAGTATTACGATGGATGTGAAAAAAAATCTAAAAAGTAAAAAAGTAATCTTTATTCTTTGTAATATAAATTCTTATAGCATTTGATGTGTCAACTTATCAATGGTTTGATAAATCCAATTGGAGTCATTGACTATTACTACATTAATAATTTTGAATTATTTTCGATCAGCTCACTTGATCTAGTTCTGATAAGTTTGAAAAAGTTAAGACAATAAAAAAATAAAATAAAAACAAAGTTTTTTCATCACAAAAGAAGCTTAATTTAATAAGTTTAGATAAGTAAAAACAAGTTATTATAATTAATGATAACAATATTACTAGTATTATTATTATTATCGGTATTATCGTCATCGCCATTAATATCATTTAACTATTAATACTTCATATAAAAATAATAGTATTGTTTATTTTTTTGTTTAATAGTAATATGTAATTGTTTCATTTAAATCAGACTATTTGTATCTGTTTTCCTCAACAAATTTTTAATAATTATCAATAAATCTAAGTTTACCTCAATCTTAATAATTTAAGGGTTATGTTATATTACTTAAAATGGTAATGTAATAAGTTATAAATTCATAATAAAATTATGCACTAATCAATGTATTAAATAATCGATTAATGCACCTTCTTTCCGTTGCATATACTTCATGTTTTTCCACAATTTAAAATAAACACAATAAAAATAGGTTTAGTTTCACAAAAATAAATTAACGAGAACGGAACGTTAGTCCTAACAAAAAGAGCCTAGCCTAGGTCAAGCCCACTAGATTTGACAAGGTTTGACAAGGTTAGGATTCCGTTTTGACTAGATTAGGCTAGACAAGGTAAATTCATTTCAAGGTTTGATTCCGTTTGTTAGCCGTACACTGGACTCACAAAGTTTCCTTTTTTGTAACTTTCTTCTTCCTCTTTGCTTCTTTAACCTCGAAACCCTAAACATCCAAAAAAAACTAAAAATAAAAACCAACATCCTAATTTTTTTTAAAAAAACCCACCCCGAAAAACCCGATTGATAGCGTCGTTGACATTCCTCGTGATGAGATAAGAAACAAACTTACTACATTTCTACAAAACTTCAAGAACACTGGTGTTTTGTCATTGCTGTTAAGGGAGAAGAAAACTTCAATCTATCGACCACCTCCACACCATAGATATGTGCACAATTACGGTACGATGCATCAAATTCATTCGGAGCATAAACTTGTTCTGTGTGAGATTACTATTGGATTGATTATATCAAATTTGAATGAACCCGATCATATGTTTATTACTATGTGGGCATTATTTTACAATGTTAAAGCAATATTTTTAGGGAAGAATCGAAATTCTTGGGTAGGTTTAAAAGAAACCATTGTTATTGATTTCAACGACTATCTATGCTGCTTCTTTGGTCCCTCAAGGAAATCTTTGGGGTTATTTGGCAGTGGGCAATGCCGAGGATTTGTTGTTGGCAGTATTATAATCACGAAGAAAACTACAATTGCACCTTACCGGGAAGAACTAAACTGTACTGGAAGGTATAATCATCAGGCTATTAATATGAGCACATTAGTAACTGTTCAAATGGGAGAACTAACCACTCGTTTTATTCTTGTTCTTGAAAAAGAAACAATTTAGGACAATTTCCAGTCAAATGCCCCTATATTCTTGTTACTAGGTGTGGTCAACCAGATTACGATACTCGTGTATTTTTTAGAACAGTCTCTGATACTTTTGATACTTTACCGGTTTTTTGTTTAGTGGATTTCAATCCATGGGGTATTGGTATTTTTCGTTCATACAAGTGCAGTTCTTACCAACTTACTCATGTGAGCAATCATCTTACTGTCGGGAGGATGCAATTTCTTGGTCTGACTTATACTAACATTACATCATCTGGCATCACCAATGATTATTTCACTTCAATGTCGGAAGTAGATCGCAAGTGTGCGTTGGGAATTCAAGATGAAGAATGGATTTCAAATGAGAAGCAAGTGGCTGAGAATAATGGGCATCACCTTGAAATGGGGCTCAAGGTTGATATTGAAGTCATTCCACTTTGGATTCGTACTTATCTAAGCAACGAGCTTTTGCCCGCCTAACTCCTGAGAATAGGTGTTGAGGGATTGAACATCAACAGTTAGTCGTCGTTTTTATAGATTTAAATATGTGATATGATATACTAACAGTTAGTCGTCGTTTTTCAAGTATGTGATATACTAGACTAATAAACTAATAGGCTTATTTAGCTACGAATGACATGATTTATCAAGTAATATTTTTCCTTTCATTGATATAAATCTCCATCTTTATTAGTATTTGTGTATTTAGTTCCTCTATTCTTAACATGTTGCAATATGGACAAAGTCATGCATCCCAATACACATCTTAAATTATCAATGTCTTCATTTTGGAAAGTGTATGTTAAGACAAGCCTATAAAGATCTCATATGACTATGTTTATGTCTATCTATAAGTCCAAACTTTGTGATCTGCTAAAGAAAGAAGGGGTTGAGATTGGGAATGCTTTTTGAGTCGATTCGTGGGTGCCTGCTCTGTTGCTCAAGAAGTGCCCAAGACTCGTATCACCAAAGCGATGGGTGTGTTGAGGGATTTGAAGTTTCCTGGTAATGGGTGTGCAATGGATATTGGATTGGTTAAGTTTGCTCCTGTTAGAGAGGTGTGTTCCTTCATGATTAGTAGCACTTTAGATGGATACAATTAAAATGTATGTTTGATTTTGCTTTTAATAGTACTAGCAAATTAGAAATTGGAATTGTGTTTTTGTACGGAAATGTTGTTAGTTTCTATATACTTCATATATAATTATACATTTGGGTGTCAAATCCAGTGGTGTTTATATTGCTATTTGTAGAAAGCTGTTTGCAGATTATAATAAGATATATAATAATGTTGATGTTGGGATTATGTTTGGTCAATGATGGTATTTTCCTTTTTGGTGAATTATGAACTTGTTCTAACTATTAGATATGACATCATGTACAAATCTTGAAAATTGAGGGATAGTTTGTAGTTAAAAAGTAATGTCAAGTGTGATTAGCGGAGTATGTTGTGGAGGCGAGTTCGGTTTTGGCAATGAATGCTTGCAACACTTTTACTTCTTTTGCTTTTATTAGCTAGGCTTGTATGTAGAATGATTCCATTGAGAGTGTATTCGATGGATGTAGTGTCAATGCTTGTCATGAATATGGCTTTGCACATCACAGCATTTTGGGACCCTGCTCATAGGAATGTGTATTGAATTTTCAATAGGTTTTTGAATTTTGAGGAATTTGAGTAGTAGAGCTTCTATCGAATGAATTGAAACGATGGTTGGTAAGTTTCATGCCTTATGTTGGAGGGAATTAGGAAGTCAACAACATAGGGGACTCTTTCCACCTCTTGATTGGTGCACCATTATACAAAAGTAGGAGTTTTGGTAGTTCAAAGTTCTTCCATGAATATGTAGTAATGGCATGGAGATTTTATAAGTTGATGAAAAGATGAGAGGTCAATCTTATTGTTTGCAAATAACATGATCAGACATCTCTAGTTGGGCATTTTTAACCAGCTCTTTCGCAGCTTAAACTTGCTAACTCAAACCTGATCAGCAAAAGGCTCATTATTTTCCTGGCTGTTAATATGGGATCTAGCGCAAACAGACTTTAGGGTAACAGAATGCTTTCTAAAGAACAACAAAAAGCGGTGAGTATCCATCTCTATTTGTGGGAGTTTAGGACCTAGAATTAAGCTCAACTGCATCGCTAGGAGTCTTGTACCACCAATACACTACTGGAATTTGCAAAAGCATTGTCATACACAAAGTTATTCGTTTAGTTAGGATTTTATATATATGAGTTTGCACTTAGAAAGCAGTTGTCAGGAAAAGCATTGTGGAGTAAAATATCACAATCTCTCCGCCATATGTAACTCCTAAAGGAAACAAATGTGCGTGTTCGAAGTCAGTATTTAAAAGGATTGTGCTTCATTTCATGTGTATGTCTTATCTAGGATGTGGTCTGGTAAAGTTACTTGGTTTATAGTAAGGAATTTTTCTAAAAGTGTTAACTAATCACCCTGTGGTTTGAAACTTTTGAGCATCTGGCAATTGTGTATTGAGTGTGATTTGTTGGTAGCTGCGATCTTTGCCCCCCCCCCCCCCCTCAAGTATGTCAATTGGAGGATGTTTAGGTACATGTTCTTTTCTTTCATTTTCTAAATTTTTTGAAAACCCTAATTTTCGTTGTTTTTGCTAATGTACACAGATAGAATTTTAGATCTTAGATAGCTTACTTTTATCTTTCACATTTATGCTTTGACATATTTATTTATATTATTATATTTAATCTCAAGTTGTTTATTTGAGTTTATTTAGATTGAATTGAGCTTTAGATTAGAAAATAAATCAATTTTAGGGTTTATTTACGGAGACTTGTTGATTCAAATTGATTTTGGGGTTTTCGCTGGGTTTGGGTTTATATGTTGGGAGCCACTAATTTCGTGTATGTTTATTTGTCATCTTTGTAGAATTAGTTATGAAGCTTAAAAGTTACCCCAAATTAAGAAGTTCCACCATCATACTCTTAGAGAAGTTCATGGCAAAGAATTCATGGGTATAATTTTAAGCCTTGAATTTCTATCATTATACTTTTGCTAACATGTCCTAATCTGCACAAGTAGTTTTCTTAATGATTAATTATTGATGCATAAATTGTCGAGGATGTTTTGTCTTGGAGCGTTGGAATTTTTATATTTATGTTAGCAGGTATCACTGATGATAATCTTCAAGAAACTAGTCAGGAGAGTCAACTATATTAATGACTTTGTTTAATAGTTGTGAAGCTAGTTGACTTGTGAGATATTAGGTTGTGAGGTGTGCAACCAATAGTTGCTTAATTTAGGAGAGAAGGTTTTTGTGTTTGAGGGTGGGGGTGTGGCTGTGAAGCTTAACAGATAGTGTGTTCGAGCATGAAAAGGAAGAAACTTCTGGGAATAACTATTCATGATTTAGTTATTTACAAGCTGTCATCATCCTTTTTTAACACAGATGACATTTGGTGATTAATGGTTTAGACTCCTTACACAATCATGTCATTTTTTAAATGCTTTCTGCATACATAACTATATCCATTTATATATGTGGTTTTCAACCTAATTTTCCTGAACTTATTGTCATTTGTTGAACTCCAAACTTTTTAAAATTTTCCTTAAACTATTACTCTCCAGTTGTACAATGAGTTAGGCAGTCCTTAACACTTAATAGAGCTTACCTATGTTTATTAGAGTTTATTAGGCGTTATCAACAATTCTACTGAACATTTATAAAGCTCATAGTCATGGATCTTGGTGAAATGTTGTTATTCATTCTGTATTTGGCTTAGATGTTGTTCAAAATCTAGTTTACTTTTTTGTTTGAGAATATATTCTCAGCATTCTTCTTATTATCAGATGGAGCTAAAGTGGATGATGCTAGTCAAAGAAGGTCAAGCCAAGAGCTATGCATGTCGGATTCAGAACTGCAGTTGGGGTTGCGTAGGAAACCTACTATGTTTGCAATTCCTTACCCATCTATCCTTGTCTGGTATATTACCAACTGATACCATCCCTGCTCCCTTTTCTTTCTTTCTTATAAACAATTGTCATGAGATTTGATGGTTTTTAAGGTGTGATGCTTTATATCTATATAGTACACCATGTAGACTGTGATTTGTGCATGTCTGGACTTGATTCTAAAGTATGAATATCAATGTAACCTACAAATAATAATTTTTAAATAATCTAATAATTTTATCATGGAGTTAATATGAAGTGTGTGTTGAAGGTACCAAGATGATTGGCTGAAGGCATCAGCAAGTTCTTTACAGCTATGGGAGTCGGCTCCTCTTGAGCCTTATGCTTTTCAAAAACATGTAAGCTACAAGAAGTTTGCTGGATAGTAATTGGACTTGTCAAATTTTTTCACAAAATTGTACCTTAAGCTGTCCTAATGTCATCTCACATCTTTATTTGGTTGTAGGTTTCTTACTATGTGGTCTCTCCAAATGTCAATTCCTTGCGGCAGCATCTAATTTTTTTTAAAGAATTAGGAAGCGGTGAGTGAAAGTGATGTGATGGCTATGTCGGTATTTCCGATTCTTAATCCAATTATACTTGGCTTATGCTCTTTGTTGTTGTGTATTTTTTGCCTCAAATCTTTGCTCATTATGTGTCTTGTGTTTTCATTTGGAGACCTCTTCTCTTATCCATATTTATTGGTGGCCAGTTCTTGATTAAGATTATAACAATGGTTCATAATCTATCTGTTGTTTTACAAGAATGGATATATTCTGCTGTTGTAGATGCATCTGTTGAAATTTTCTATTCTGCTGTTGGCTTCATTTAATATGATTTTACTTTCATGAGTTGCATGTATAAGTAAAAATTTTGAAATAGATGAACTGAAAGTCTGTTAGATTATAATTCACATTCACCTAGGCGTTGGGATGGCAATGATAGAGTGGCCTTTGGTATGGATCGGAACTGTTTAGGGTAAAATTACCCATGACAATTGGACCAATCTGGACCTGCCACGTGTCCACCATGTGGGCCAATCAGCGTCCGCCACTTGTCAACCTCAGAGGTCCAACATGGACTAATCAGGCCAAGCCATGTGGCCCATAATCTGCCAACCTGGAAAGCGGCCGCCAAAGGCCCGAATCCTGAGGCAAACCCAATCAGTCCTAGGTTTCCCCAAAAAACCTAGTATTGGGCACGTACTTCGAGGCTATATAAACAGGTCATTAGCCTCCATTAAACAACAGAATCATCTCACCTAGAGAAGCCTAAACACACGTGAATACTAATCGCTAGACCAGACTCAGCATTATTTGCACTCCCCGATCACTCCTCCCCTTCGAGGAACCAGATCACCCTCTTTATTTCGGCACTTTTTACTCCACATACAAGTACTAAGTTGATCGTCGAAGGCAGAGCTCCCACCACCCAAAGTCTCCGTTATTTTGCAGGTACAGGCGCACGGATCCAGTCCCGGAATTGTAACTCTCCCGCAGGACATCAGAAAACCCCGAAAAATTTTGGCACCGTCTGTGGGGAGAGTACTTTC